AATTGTAACTAATTGCAGTTAATACAATCTGAAATACAGAATGCATGTCTCCACCTATTTTGACAACAGTTTCACCATTATGGAATCATCTGAAGAATTCAATTTTGAAAGGTCAATGTTTCTCCCTAATGAGGCAATTCCACTGATCTTTTGTTTCAAAAATACTTTTGATACATGACCTACGGATTGTGAAAAACTATATTAGGGAGTAGAAAGAAAAAAAAGGTCAATATTAGAAAAGAAGATTAAGTTTAACAAGCATTGCGAAAAGCATTTTAAAATTATATACGACTGTATTACCATCGTATATACATATATATATATTCTGTCCTAATATTAATTTGCCATTTGTATTTTATACGAATTAATTAAAACATAAATATGCAATTTAATTGTTGGCTGAGAAAGATCTGGATATATAAAGTTCAAAACTATTTCTAGTGGAATTTATAAATATGAACAAACAAATATACAATGTTGTCGAACATTAAAAAAAAAAAGGTATTTTAATGCTAACTATCTGATCTTTCAAATAATTCCTTTCTTTTTTTATTATGTAAGCCGAAAAATTATAATATATATAATTATTAAAATGGATTTCGAATAAGATTACGAGGTTGAAAATGAAAACGAATTCTGCTACCTCAGATTTATCAGGATTATTATAACTACTAAATTACTAACTGCAGTCCAAACAACCGTCAACGAATGGTAAACAGTATTAAATTTCAGATATTTGGAAATAAGAGATGATAGCACCATATAATATCTAACGCTATCATGTTTCCGATATTACCGGGGATTTAAAATCCTCGATTTAAAAAATAATTTAAATAATATTGAGAAACATTACCTACTCAAGTATTGAGAAACTAATTATTTAAATATTTTATATACTTTCGAATAAAATATATAAAAGCATCGATTTACTGCGATTACTTATATTTTTTTATCAATATATAATAAACGTATTCATACAAGAGCAGTAAAACAAGGCTACAAGTATTTCAATGTTTTTTTAGTAGATTTATATATTGAAATTGTCGTTTTGGGTTCTAGAATAAAAACACTTATTTCATTGCTCCTTTCGATAAATTGCGACATACATGCCGCTAGTAAATATGAATAATTTACATTCTACATTATCTTAGTTATATCGCATTATATACGTATTAATTATCTCTACTCATAAACAAAACGCATTCGACAGTCTATATTTATATTAAATATAACATTAAGCTGATCGCTTTGATAAAATAAAATATATGGTATATTAGTAAGGATATAAGGTGAAAAATATATTAGAGCCACGTAAAATTCATGATTAGTGTTCTACTTTGTAAAGTAATTTTACACTTAATAATGTAGCATTTTATAAAATTTAAATTAAAATTAAGATGCTTACATCTTCTCTCTCGTGCAAAAAATCTTAATAAATTTCAATCTATTAATTCGATTGTATCTACCAGGTACTTTGTAATAAACAGGGTCCAGACTTTACCATTATTTATGCCTGAGAAGTAACCAGATGGGATCGACTGCACATCACTTACATTCTGGTTAAGCACCATCGCTATTTCAAATCAATGTGCCGTTAAATCCCCAAAAAATTTATCACATTTAAAGCACTTTATTGTACTCGTTACTCAACAATCATTTTCTCAATCTTCGTCTCGGGTATAAGTAATGCTAACGTTCAAGTCCCGATAATAAGATTACATCATTCATTTTATAATGATATACGTGATGTGGCTTTACAGGAAAAATGCTTCGCTGAATTTTATTTGGCATACTTTGCAATTAGGATAAGTTACTGCATGGTTCCAACAATCAATGAGGAATGTTAGTGTGGCACATATTACGTATGCATCTACATTGTGCGCGTTTTAAGTGTCAGTAACTATTCCTCGAACATTTAAAGATACAAGTCATATGTCAAATAAAAATCTATTGGTCCGAAGAACATTGATAATGTGTAGATGAAAATAAATACTCCGTTTTAATACAAACTTCTATCCCAATTTTTAAACAGATCAGCGTAGTCTCGCCTATAAAATATATTATATTTTTAATCGAATTCCTTATAAACATTTATTTAAAATTTCTAATAATAAACCGATAAAATTCGTATAAATATACAAGATAAAAAACTGATCTCAAAATATTAATATACCCTTTATTCTGATGAATAAGGGCAGTTCCAAATGAGCTAATGTATCCAAGCCCTCTCTATTCTGTAAAAGAAAAGTATGTAAAATTACGTGAACAAGTAAATTATATATATATATATAACGTATAAAAATTATATATTATATATAATTATTTCCAAATAATAACATTTCCAAATTTTACACTTACGTTCACGATTTTACATAATTCTTTTATAGTGTAATTTCTTCACCTTTTCTCTATCTCGTTACGCGTTTATTTAATTAAGTGTCAAGTATCGTCAAAATATGAAGTGTTCTTGATTTCATTTTTAAACGACCTCACTTATAACATCTCAAATAATTTTTGTGATATAATAATTTACAAGAAAATTTGAATGTACAAAATCGCTTGAAAGTTATTTTAAAGTACAGAAAAAGTGTGAAATATAGAAACCGATTGCTACAATAAGAGTTTTAAGCAAATTCCGATTGATATAATCTATGATTAGATTAACCATAAATATCCAGAATAGAATATTTATTTTTTCCTCTTCGTATCAAACAACAAAAAAATTATATGTCAACAAAATACTACAGAAAGATATTTCTTATTAATCATCGATTAAATTAATCGGACTTTAAAATTACGTATCTGTAAATAGATTCTTGTAGGAAATTCGTTTATAAATTGTAAGTTTAATTACAATAATTTAATAAAATAAAATAATAAAGTTTAACAAAAAATAACAAAAGTGATCGAAAAGGAAAGTTCTCGCTGTGTTAAATGATTATAAAGCATTTGCTCTAGCGTTTCCTCTCACAAAGGAACATCACGAGTGTGTTTCGTTTCACACATGATGTGGATAATATATTATTTTATTTTTGTTCATCGAATATTGAAGAAGGATAAAATGATACATCATGCGCCTCGTACATCAAACGCACATAGTCTTTCACAGATTGGTGTGTTTATCATAAAGAATTCATACTTTTCAAAATATTGACAAGTAAAAAACGGTGACTTGTTTTACTAATGAATTATTTTTAAATTAAAATGTCAAACGATATCAATTCTTATTGGACCGCGAGAATTCAAACCGATAAGAACAAGCCGCAGCAGTCTAAGCTGGATTACGGGTGCTTCTATATAATTGCGAGTGAATTTATATATTACGTATGTAAATCTTTGATTGCGCGCCGAAATTTTTTCAGACTTGAAACGCAACACTAATAAACTACCGCAGTAATATCACAAGTTAAATTGATTAACAATTTAACAATTTTTGATGCTGTTTACGCATCTTATATCGATTTTAATAATGTTGAATGACCTACTAAAATCTATAAATAATTAATTTTTCATTGCGAAAAATATTATCCCGGCCGGGAGTCGAACCCGGATCTCGCACGGAATGCCAGAAATCCAGGTTCGATTCCCGGCCGACGTAATACTTTTGTTCTCATCGGTTTAAAATATCAAAGATATTAACTTGTATGTAAGATATAACTTGTATTTTTTTTATTTAAAAAATCAATGAAAACTATATTTACTCTATTATCTTCTTCTGAATATTCAAAATTTATTTCCAATTTTAAGATGTAGAACTTTCATAAAATTTTATCAACTTGAATCGAATTAACATTCAATTAGATACGTTTACTGTGAAAAGATTTGCCATGTGTATAGAAATCCATACTTAGATTTGGATGAAGCCATCTACCCATACAGCAATGGAATCTCTGCGAGATATACTAAAATCATTCTGAATATTCGAAATATATTGCGATCTTCTTATAATTGCGATATTCATTATAATAAGTATATCTCTGAAGTATTCTAATATTGAATATTCAGAAAATTTCGATAAAAAATATATAAAAATTATAAAGATAATCCGCATAAAAGAGAACACATAGTCTAAGAGTACTTTAGGCGCTATAGTTTAAAATATATATACACGGCTAGAATATGTATATATATATGTATATATACATATGGCAGTGTGGTTATATTGTATTATATTTAAAAAGTATGCTCCAGATATATCTCCCTTTTTCCCTTTTTCTCCTTCTCGATTGCTCTCAATATAATGCTATGATTTTCCAGTAAGATATGTTAAAGAAATCCCGCAGATCTTTTTTTATCTTACTGTGTGGGTAGAGTAGTCACAAACTCAACACTGATTTTCTACATAATTATTTTGTAGTTCAGTGCGAACAATCCAATACCATATCTTCATAAAATGTTCTAAATATGTAATTCACGAATTGTTGGTTAAATGGAAGCAATATCGCCTTACATTTTCTTGCATAATATTTGCAAGTTATTGCAAGGGTTAGTAAAAAATGAGATACATCGTTTTTTTTATTTACATTTTTAAAACAGATCTATGTATGACATGTAATATAGTGATATAATTTGGCAGCAAATAATTATAATCTCACCTATATATTTAATTTTTCTGATTCACCTTATAATTACTTGTGTAATATTTTGCCCGTATTGTTTTACTTCACATTTTTCTAGTCATTTAAAAATTTATCAATTTTATAAATCTTTTTAATGTTTATAAATCTGTCTCCAATGTATAGAAGACATTGGGAAAGATAAAATATGTAATAATTGTAATATATAATTGATATATTTTTATTAGGATGAATGTCATGATAAGTAACTAACGATTACTTGTATAGCATTATATAGAGGAGAAATTAATAATTATTCAAATAATAAAACATAAAATCGGAGATATATGCTTGTCTTTTTTCTATTGTTTCAACATTCCTCATTGATACGTATAACAAAATTATGATACAAAAATTGGTTGTGCCATTAAAATAAACTATATTAATGGACACTAACTACATACTAGATTCCTTGGTAGTAATAATCTCGTTGGTATTATCAACACGAATTAACGTAGTTGAATTTAGTACAAGAGCTCTACCAAGAGTAGCAACTCGTTCCACTACGCACGAGGCAGAAAGGCGTGCTTCGGCATCGTGATCCCAACACTCTTCCATTGTATCACAAATCGATGATAATCCCTGAAATAACACGCATTTCAATTATAGACATTAAAAAACTATATATTCAATTTTACTTTCAGAGTGAAAAACATTGTTTCTTGTACAGTCATTAAAAAAATACTTTCTACTACTAGCAGTTTTTATATAGAAGGGATTTGTTTGCATAATATGCACATACACATACATATGCATCTCTAAGTTATTTTTCAATATATAATAATTCTATCGCGTGAACAGAATTGAAGTAGATATTTCTATACATTTTTACTTACTGGATGTTTACGCCAAGTTTCTAAAATGAGCGGTCTCTCTTTTTTATGGACAACGCTTTCTTGCATGTCTTCTAGAGTAGGATGGAGACCGACTTCATCCTCAAATGGTAGTCGATATTCTCCTATTGGTCCCTAATATTGAAAGAAAAACAATTAGGGCGGAATCCATAGACATTGCTCAAGATTCGAGATGTTCTTAAGCTAGTGCTTAAAGGCTAGAGTCCCATATGAGGCATATTTGTCGCGTACATGTATGCGCGCACAATTATATTTTAAGAATACGAAACTAGGTAATACCCAGTTTTTATTTCGTTAAAATTTCTTGTATAGTCACATTTTATCATTATTCTTTAAAGTAAATTTTGGCATATTATAGTCTGACATGTTTCAGTTTTCTCCCAATTTTTTCTAATGAATAGTTAAAAAATTCATACTGGATAATATCGATGTCCGAATAGAAGGATCAGATAATAAATCGGATATAAGATATCCAGGTAATCATTTCCTTGATATTCACATATCCAAACCATATTTGCAGCTCTAGTCTTGAGAGCTCACAGTTCAGCAAAAATACATCTTTCTATAAGATATATTACATATAATATATATTACGTACATTTTGTACAGTACATCTTGAAGCTAACTCCCATAGGACTAATCCACAGGCATACATGTCAATTCGTAAAAATGAATCTCTAGTAAAATTTATTGCTCCTTCTAAAACTTCGGGCGCCATATATCTTCGCGTTCCAACCTATAAATAACAAATTATTACAGTTATGTTCACATCAATTTAAAAAGCAAGATATATATTATACATTACCTGTCCATGTGTATCACCGCAAGGTTTTCCCGGATGAAAAATAAGTGCCAAGCCAAAATCAGCTATACAAGCACTCATATCAGCCTTCAGTAAAACGTTTTTTGACTTAAAATCTCTATGAGCTACAGCTGGTTTATAACCATCTGCCTTATTAGCTGGGATTTCCTCATGTAGATGCATTAAACCTCTGATAATAAAAAATCTTTTTATTAAAGATTGAACAATAACTCAGTAAAAATATTATTTTATTCAATTTACATGTAATCTTGTTTCATTCCTAACAGATTATTATAACTGTTACCTTGCCATGGACTCTGCAATTCTACACATCTCAGGCCATGTTACAATGTTTGCTTTTAGATAATCACACAGTGAACCTTTTTCGTGATACGCCGTAATTAACCAAAATTCAGCTTGTAAATTATCTCCACGCTTTTCGACACCTATGAAGTGTAATATATCCTCGTGATCCATATGTGCAAGCTTAAAAATCTCTTGTTCAGTCTGCCAAGATTGCTTATCTTGAATGGGAAAAACTTTAACTGCTACGATCTCGTTTTTAAATTGGGCTTTCCAAACTGCTCCAAAACGACCTCGAGCTTTGATCTCAAGAAGTTGTATTGGTCGTAAACCTAGAATAGGTGAAGGTTGTGGCAACGGCACTGGTTCCAGCGTTGGTATCTGAAAGATTTACATAAATTTTTACATAAATAAAAGTTTTCATAAATTAAATAGTACATTTTAAAATTTTGTAGTAATTTCAAAATACAACCTCGTTAAAATAGCCCAATTTTCGACGACGATAGAGCCACCAAAATGAAAACAAACTAATCGTAAGAAGTATAGGAATTGTTATTAAAAGGGCAAGTGTTATTGCTTGCTGCTTTGCATTGGGCATAGGTTCAAATTCTGAAAAGGTAATTATTTAAATGTTATTACAAATGTATTGCAAAAGATACAAATGTATTTTCAAATACAAAATAAACACTGCATATTTAAATACAATACCGTGAATAACAGATGGTTCTGTAGGCTTTGTGGTTGGTTGTGGAACCCAAGAGAAGTTTTGGTTACACATATTGCCTTCACAACAACAAAAATAGAAGTCATTTTTTCTTTCCATACTATTCTCTACACAAAGTGGTTTACCATAACAATCATTGTTATCTAAAAAGCAACCCTGAAAATAATGTAAAAGATGTATAGAAAATATATTCAAGAAGAATAAAATCTGTAATTCAACTATTCAATAAAAAGAAGCGATATAATTTAAAGAAAATTGTAATTTACTTTCATGGCCTTAGGATTTGTTAAAATTATATCAAGTTGTAAAGTTGATATTTTATATTACAAAATAATTTAGAACGATATAAAATTTTTCAATATTTCTATTTAACTATTAATATATTTTAGTTTAAAAATGTTTTTCTGTTTATAAAAGCTACTCTATTTACTTATACATATAATAGACTTGAATAGACTACAATAAATTATATTATATATATACATACGTACATATGTGTATACATATATATAATTAATCAATAATATTAATCAGATAAATAACCAACCTTTAATTTAATTATTGTTTCTTTAGTAGTACTGTTCATTGTCCATAGTACATAACAATGATTACGTTTATCTGGATCATGCATAACACATTCTTCTCTTCCTGAACATTCTTGTTCATTCTCTGCACACATGGTGTCATTGTAAAATTCACAAAAGGCTGAGCCTTTAATATCTTTTGCAGAAGTAAATCCTAAAATAATTGATTAAATTTTATCATTTTTGTATTTAACATTAATTAATAAATTACATTAACTGTTTTATTTATCTAAAAAGCAGTTCTTTCAATTATTTAATTTATTTAAGGTATATCATATGATATTTTCTCTGTTAAAAAGTATATGAGGATAAAGTTTGTCTTCACAAACACAGACAAATTTACAACTTCACACTTATAAGGTACATATGTATAGAGCTGCTATAGCTGTTGCTACGATTAGCCTATATATCAAACTTATATAAAGTTTAGCATATAGAACTTGGTCACTGTTTAACTGAATAGTCAGAAAAAATCTCAAACTACCACTGTAATTGTTTGCAAACTGTTTTCTATTATTCATCTGTCTACAATTTACAAAGCAAAAACAGTGATGTAACTGAACGTAGGAACAAATTGCTGGATAAGTTTGAAATTCATAGAGAGAATTGAAGAATAAAGTATATATTGAAGTAATTGAAGAATATAAAGCACACACACAAGTATATGACAGACGGCAGCATAATCATTTATAAATGTATTAATCTAATGCAAAAGCCTAAAATTATTGTAATTACAACTTTATTCAAATTTGATTTAATTTTAATTAAAGAAGCTGGTACGTACATTCTCTTAAATATAATTAGTGACAATGTATAAAAATAACTTGGACCAAGTTCTAAATAACTTAATCGGTTTTTAACTTGTCAAAACAATATTTTGTTAATATGAATAGAATAATTATAATCTCTTGTTATTGAATACATGGAGAAAAAGTTTAGATTAATGATACAAATTGTATAGTTAAAAGTTATACAATAAGTAACTTTGTTAGTTGAATTAAGCAATGATTAAGTTAATCGGAGTTTAGTTAAAATCATCTAAAATTCTCTTCTTTAGCTTACTCTCTGAAAAAGTTTCATGGTTCTTTAAATCTTTCGAGAATAAGATTTTGAAAAATGAAAAATACAAATTTTAAACGAAATATTACTATATATATATTACTATATATAAATATCACTATATATATACATTACCTAATAATCCCAGGAAGATGAGAGGCAGTATCGTCGCATATACGGACATGGTGAGTGAATCGTAAAAGCATACCAGTAATTTTGAGTCTATTAGCTATTAAGCAAATTGTAGTAATTTATCCGCCGACACATCTCTTCCTTTCTCTCTCTTCCTCTCTTTCTCTCTGTCTCTCTCTTTTGTTTTCCCTCTTCCACCTTTATACAGAAATACGCACTGCACAGATTTATGTCATCTTCAAACGTCAAATCATTGCCAGTCTCGTAACTTCCGAACATAAAACATACTCCTTCTTTTTCTCTTCCGCTTTTCTTCTACCTTTCGGCGCGTTATGTGACACACTCGCAGCGCAATTAACTCACACGCGGTTTCCTAGTTAAATTAAGAAAAAGATGTCATTTTTGGAGTAAGAGTTCAAAGAAACGTACGGTAAACGCGTGAGACGCACAGAACGACATGCTGGGTATAGAACACCTACGAACTGTACACTTATCATTGACACAAAAATATAACACAGCGAAACATCATATCGTGGATCGTGGGAATAAAGCCTCAGGTCTCAGGGAAAGAAGATATTTGATGTCTAAAGTCACGGTCTGCTTCTAATATGGCAGTCTAGCGCTTTTCCCTTGGTCATTGATTATATATTATCTGAAGTTGTCCAACTATCGTATATTTCAGATACTCCAGCGTACGTAATGCTCTCTGTGCGAGAATCCTATAACTTTTTCCTGAAGCGCAAAAATACGAAATTTTATGTAAACTCATTTTTTCTCCTCGCGCAATCATAAACGATTAATGTCTATTTAAATTAATTTTAAATTCACAGTTTAACTTATGAATATAATCATGCACACTGGACGCGGAATTGTTTCCGCGCGATGGAAATTGAAACAGTATAGCCAATGGGGGTGCATCGTAGAAGCATAATCGTTTACTAAAGTTAAATTCAAAAATATCACCCAGGTTTTCATCCTTATTGTTCATTCAATGTTAAACAAGAATAAGACGGGGATACTCGAGTGATATTTTCGAACGTAGCCCAAGAAGCATGTTGGAACATTTGGGTGCATTTAATATATGACGACTGCTCAGTGCTCACTGAGAGCTCAGTGAGCTCTCGCATTTGATTGGCATATTGCGTTAGATCTAAAAATATAAATCAACGGGCGCATTCAGCAGAAAAGAGCGCTACTAGAGCGCTCGCTGTTATTGGTATATTCTTCCAGAGCTAAAATTCTGATTGGATGATCTAGAAGAATGCACCAATAACAGCGAGCGCTCTAGTAGCGCTCTTTTCTGCTGAATGCGCCCAACCAAATGAGCTCACTGAGCGCTCAATGAACGGTCGTCGCATCGTACTGAATGCACCCATTGGAGCATACGATGCAACAAATTTATTGGTGTGCTTTATACAAGGGTACTATATAAGACTATACGAGGGCAAGTCAATAAGTTCTTAGAAAATCTATCAGAGGGCACTCGCAGGGTCATGTCAGATGTCGCATTACTTTTTGACAAGTAGCATCTTTCAACTGATTACTGTCAAATTTTGAGCGGAATTCATTTCGTGAGAGGTTTCATTTCTGTAGACGATTGAAGCGAACAATCTTTGTATTTTTTGCAAAATGGAAAGAAACGAGTTTCGTGCAGTGATCAAACATCTACATATAAAAGGTTTAACGCCGAAAGAAATCAAAGCCGAGTTAGATAATGTTCATAGCACATCTGCACCAGCGTTTGCGACTGTATACAATTGGGTGAATAAATTTAAACGTGGTTGTACATCCACATATGATGCACCTCGTTCGGGACGTCCAATTGAGGCTACTACGCCAGAAATCATCGATAAAGTCCACGATATTGTTTTGACTGATCGACGAGTGAAAGTGCGCGAGCTTGTTGAGGCCACAGGCATATCACATGGCACAGTGATTTCAATTTTGCACGAACAATTGGGTATGAAAAAGCTATCGGCAAAATGGGTGCCGCGTTTGCTCACTGTGGACCATAAGCGCGACCGTGTGACGATTTCAAAACAATGTTTGAAGATGTTTCAATATAATCCAGATGAATTTCTGCGTCGATTCATTACCGTGGACGAAACATGGATCTATTACTTCACACCGAAGGAACAGTCAAAACAATGCACTTCACCGGATGAGCCAGCTCCGAAGAAGGCGAAGACCGTGAAGTCGGCCGGAAAGGTGATGGCCACAATTTTTTGGGATGCACGCGGTATAATTCATATTGATTATCTTCCGTCGAAGCAAACGATTAATGGCGATTACTACGCAGCCTTATTGGACCGTTTCAACAACATTTTAAAGAAAAAACGTCCCCATTTGGCGAAGAGGAAAGTGCTCTTCCATCAAGACAATGCATGGGTTCACACGTGCCCGGCACCGATGGCCAAATTCAACGAATTCGGTTACGAATTGCTTCCCCATCCAGCATATTCGCCAGATTTAGCCCCCTGCGACTATTTCCTGTTTCCAAATCTGGAGAAATGGTTCGGAGGAAAGAGATTCACCACTAGAGAGCAGCTTATCGCCGAAACAGAGACTTATTTTGAAGGGTTGGACAAATCATATTATTCAGACGGCTTGAAAAAGTTGGAGAATCGTTGGATCAAGTGTATCGAGCTGAAAGGAGACTATGTTGAGAAATAAAAATTAATCGACAAAAAAAAAATGTGTTTTACTATGTTTTTCTAAAAACTTATTGACTGCTCTCATAAGGCTGCGTTCAGCAGAGAAAACAGCTTTGCAACTGTTGTAAAATTCTTTAATATGATTGGTCTTGCCCTTATTTCCTCATTAGATCTAAATGTATAAACCAATCATATTCAAGAATTTTACACAGTTGCAAAGCTGCTTTTTTCTGCTGAACGCAGCCATATTTCGAGTAAAATCTTCCTCGGAGAGGATATTTTGGAACGTAGCCCTAAATACATATGTTTGATTCTACAACATTGTTATATCATTGTAATTGTCATCTTTATTGCACGCACAATCATTTTAGATTTGGTCCTTTTTTTATCATGCATGTACTAATTACATTATTTAAAATACATTTCATATGTATAGCAAAATGGATTCAACATAAAAAGCTTAAAAGGGAAAATACCGATAAACGAGACAATTTTGAAAAAAAAAATGTAACATGAACTTTGGATCTGGTGTTACAATTTGAAACTAAAGGATAATAAAATAAAAAAGAACAATAACTATCAAAAATATTTCTCAGGATTTTTAAACGAATTGAAACACAGAAATATTCACGATATCTCTATACTTTTTCTAGGAATTTTTCATATATGTGGACTCTAAAATATTGTAAAATTTAAATTAAAAAAACCTAAGAAATTTTCTAAAAAGTTTAAAATTATACAGAAATTTTAAAAACTGAAAATTATATATAAATTTTGAAAAATTATATGAAAAAAGCTGAGAAAACAATTACCATCAGAATTATAAAATTTTCTCAGAACTTTTCATATAAATTTTTCAGTATTGTTTGTAAATTTCAATATAAAAATGTTATACATAATCATGTGAATTTTTGTAAGAAATTCGACTATCTCAGTAACTGATATTAAAGTTAATCTATATTAACAGAAATAAACATAACTTTGACCAAACTGAAACAATCAAAGAACTTGATTAACTGAATTAATGACATCTGTTGATATATATAAAAAATATTTTTTCAGGAAGATTTGAACATGGAAAGATTGAATTAGGAATTATATATTAAAATATTGTAAGCATTGTTGAATCAATATATATGTAATTAATATCATTAAAGTACCATCTCTAGTATCTTCGTGACATAATACAAGATAAATATTGCAAACTTTACATATAAATATACATATATACAACATCGATGTAATCTTGTTTTATAAAATATTATTTTTAAAGAAAATTAGCCATTGGATCTTCATCGCGTTTGCGTTTCATTTGATATGCTTCTATCTCTTCAGCTGTCAATTCCTTTGTCTCATACATGCTGTTATACGGACGTTTTCTCTCATCAATTTGTAACATCCTGTCTGCTTGTTTTGCATGTTCCTCTTCCTTTTTCAATGCTTCTCTCAGTTTGTCTTCAGTTTGTTCTGCATTATTCCGTTTTTTATTCTTGCGGTTTTCTTTTCGTTTCTGTTTTTTTAATTTTCGTTTAGCTGCTTTACTTTGCAATTCCGTTTTGTTTCTTGTGTCATCCTCGGACAAAGATTCGTTGCTGGAGGAATGATTGTCATCCATTATATTTGATTTATCTAGCCCCATGTCTTCTTTATATGGTATTTTATCTGGCATGCCGTTGCTCGCTGCTTTTGCTGCTTTTTTCCCTGATTCTCCAGTGCAATAGGAATTTTTAATAAAGGAATGACAGCACTTGTAAGCCCATTTTCCATCTTGCCAGTAGGAACCCCAGATCGATGTATGATTATTTGGATAAACGTCCTCTTCGTACTTGGATCTTATCACTTGTCTGTCTTGTCCTTTAATTATTTTACCATACCTCGAATATTCAACATAATGCTCAGTCTGCGCTAACAATAGGGTCTTTGGTGGTGCTTTAAGATGTTCTTCACCTCCATAACGCTCGATTACGCTGTCACGTGCCTTGTCTTTCAACTCGTCTCGTTTCTTGTCATATTCCTGCTTCAATAGTTCTAGCTTCGTAGGCTCAGCCAATAAATGTACATCAACTCCTTTTTCGTGTGCGTCCCAAGCAAACAATTGCGCATTAGCATGCTGCTGCGTGTCTCCTGAGAAACGAGCTGAATTTTCACCCTTGAAATCCACTTCGCGTTCCGTACCTGCATAAGGATTGTCACGCATGGATCTGGTTTTTGGATCATAATACGCAGAGTTTGGATCTAAATTGCGCAGATACTTAGCCGTGTCCTCTCGAATTCGGAGATTCCTCACAGTGATACGCTGCTTAGAATCGACCTTTGTACCAGGCATGTCCACTTCGTCTACATATTTATCTTCATCTTTGTCCGAGTCTTGCTCGTCGTTCTCTTCTTCTGCATTGAG